GGCACTAATCGATAGAAAACTAGCTGATTGACAGGCAAAACGAAGGACCCGAATGGTGTGGGGGTGAGCACGTAAGCTCCCGGAAAGAGTAGTAGCGCTTTTGATATTCACCGCAGACGCCTGCAGCCCGGAGTTTTGTAAATATCTCTGCGTCATTACGGTTGTATTCCACGTAGTACCCTGCCGTGAAAGGTTGCAATAGGCGGCAAATAAAAGGTGAACAGTGTGATTTAAGCATGGGTTGGTTTATCGAAGCTCAACATGGAACCCATGCCTTTCGGCTTATTGAAAACCATGTATAACCACAGCGCTACAGATATTATGCCTATTAAAGTAGAACACAGAACCTTTTCAGGCAATATCTGGCACCGTCATTTCAATGGCGTGTATGCTCATAACGATGTTGTACATGAAAACTGTTGCATCAGTTATATTACCATTATCCGAATTTCCCGTATGGGCACATCCGCTGAACGTTTCCGGAAATATGTGAATGATTGGCTTAGCAGAACGAATATTTTATCATCATGCTAAACAATAAAGGAATCCGTAGCCTTACAAAGTGTATTTGCGTACAAATGACAAACACTCAATAAAATTTTTGTTACGAACTCAATAGTTGGATTACGATCACGTTACACAGCACTTCCCGAAGCCTAAACTGCACCAAAAAAGATGGTGATTGCTTGGTGGTCTGCAGGTGGGCTGATTCATAGAGGTATTTCAATCCGGACGAAGCGATTACGGCAGAGAAGTATTGCCAACAATTCGGCGAAATGCACCGTAAACCCCGACAATAACAACCGGCATTAGTCAACAGAAAAGGACCAATTCTTCTCCACGATAATGCCTGCCTTCACGTCGGGAATCAGAGCTGCAAAAGTTGAATGAGTTGGACTACGAAATCTTGCTTCGTCAGCCATATTTATCAGACTTCTCGCTTAGCGACTTCCACTTCTTCAGGCACGTTCACTCAAAAAATCACAGAAATCACTAAGCGTTATTGAAACCGCAATCGTAAGGACGATGCTAGGAGTATCCTGTGTCACACAAGTGAGATAAGGGACCTCAAGCTCCGATCAACGCAAACCATCGAAAATCAAAGACGTCGTTACGTATGCCAAATTGTCGAGGATAAGGCGAGCATGACACGTAATCCTAATGCGTGTCAACGACAACCGATTGAGAAGAGCCGTCAACGACTAGATTTTTCGGGTCGTTAAAAGCACAACAGAAGGACCACCGAACTGTTCTTTACGGTGACTCCAAAAAGAAAATATGATACCCAAAGAGTCTCTAGGGGGAGTAGAACTTAGAACCTACTCTCGTACGCAACAGAGAGCTCGACTCTAGGATTTGCCGGCGTCCATACGATTCACTCGACAATCAACGGGACAACAGGTGAGAGTTAAGTGATATTGAACTATACCATAAACGCAGTTTGATATGAGGTACTGATTCTTACTCGGAATTCTCTAATTCTTTTTTCAGAAAATGGGTAACTCTGAGAAGCATCTGCGAAATACTGTTTTTCTAAGAATGGCATTTACAAATAATAGCGGCTACATTTATTTTTTGACTGTTAACGTGTGCTCTTCCATATAGATCTTCGGATATATTTGGAGTTCAAAATTTCTTAATTTCCAAGAGTATGACACATTTGAACTTTGGCAGAACTTTTTCTTGCAATAAGGCGATTTTCTGGAAACGAAGTTACTTCAGTGGTATTTTTTCACTGAGCCAAATTAGTGTTTAAAGCGCGCAGTAATTTTTGTTTGAATCCTAGGAAATTTAATTCAAGGCAAAAGAACATAGATCAGAATTTATAGATGCACGGAACATTTGTATTGTATTACATCCACTATTTTTACTACACTAAAGCATGAAATCCGGGGCGAAGTTGACTTGAAATATTTATCCCGCTAACGGGTTATATCTGAAGGCTCCGATCGATAGAACTAGCTGTGAAACAGGCGAAACTAAAGACCCGCATGGTGTATTGGTGAAGGAATTAGCCCCTGGAAAGGGTAATAGCGCGTTCGTTCCACGCCGCGGACACCTGCGGTCCGGAGTTTTGCAAATATCTCAGCATCATTGTGGTTGTATCACACATAATACCCCGCCATGAAAAATTATAACAGGGAGTAAATAAAAAGTTAACATTGAAACATTTATTACAAATATACATACGCAGTTCGCTAAATACTAGAAATCAATACAGAAAATGAAACCATTTGTAACATAGAGGATTGTTTCGAAACCGACTTTCCTTGAACCTCGGTATCACTAATCAATATGTATTCTTTCTTTGATGAACTTACACGAGGTTGATAACGATATTTATTTTTGGCTAACGTTTCGACGTCTTCGTCTTCCTGAGAGCAGATGATCCGAGTCGATATAAAAAAGGGCATCACTGAGTGAGGATGCCTCATTCGAGGAGATGGCTCACTGAGGATGACCTGACTCGACACGAAGGCGAAGCTGCCACGTCGAGACGAATAACAAGCATGGACCATCGACTCGGATCATAGACATGAAACATCGGTTTAGAGCCTTCAGTTTTTTCTCGACTTAAGAACAAACACCCGATTTACCCTGTCCTTTACTTGCTTTTTAAAACACATAAGGCTACTTGGGTCAGGGTTTAGCACCAAGCCTTGCCATCGCCTTCATGTCTAAGGTGGAAGCTCCAGTTCTCGATCATCGACCATTACTATACTGTCGATACATAGACGACTGCTTCATCGTCTGTTTCACACAAGAACAGATAGATGAGTGCCTTGAATTGTTAAATCAACAGTCAGAGTATATAAAATTTACACGAGAAAAACCAACCAAGAACTGGCTTCCATTCTTAAACGTCCAAATGAAGCTCTCAGTAAGTGGCTATTTAACAAAATGGTATCGCAAGCCAAGTAGTAAAAACATTCTAGTTCACTGCCTCTCCTCTCATTCTTCACACATGAAAAAGGCACTTATCAAAAACATGTACCGTACGGCTAAAAATGTGTGCACAGCAGAAGAGGAAAGGAAGGAATCGCGAAACCTGGCACGAAAAATTGCCATTTCCAATGGCTACGAAGTAGAAGCCACTTGGGTTAGAGGAAAACGTTGGGTAGTTTCCCAAAATAATATTTCAGACGAAAGTAGGATCCCCTTTAAGCTGCCCTTCATATCAAATGAAGTAAGTCACGCCATTAAAAAGTGCTTAGGAAAAAGTGGTCTTGAAAATTATGTAACGATTGTTGACATCCCACCCAATACCCTATGCCGCCAGTTAGTTTGAAACCGTCTCTATGATCGTTTGTGCAGCTCAGAAAACTGTATGATCTGTCCTAACGGGAGAGACGGGGATTGCATGAGTTTAGGTATAATACACTTGATCTCATGTAATGCATGCGGCGAGGAATATATCGGGGAAACGGGTAGACCACTTTGTGTCCGCATAAAAGAACATCTAGATGGGAAAGCTAAAATCCGTTTAAACACCCCTCTAGGTACGCATAGGGCACAAATGCACAACGGCGATGATTTTGAAGTAAATGTGCGGATCCTAGCGCAGAAATCAAAAACATCAACGCGCAAAACTCTTGAGGCGTTTTGGATTAATTTCAAAAATCCAAAGATGAACCGGAAGGACGAATGCCTCACTATCACGCGTGACCTGGCCCCCTATTTCAAAATGATATTTTGACCCCGGGGCGTGTCTTGCTCGCGTAAACTACGTGTCGGCCAGACCCGCACATAACATCACGGTGAGTGACCTTTCTGTTCAGTATGGCGTCTGTTTGAAAGTTTGATCTTCATTAATACTTCAACCTTCTTTTCTTTCTTTCTTTAACCCTTTTATGTTAGAATACTTTTCCACCGAATAATAAAAAGTATTCTAACATAAAGTACGTCCAGGCTCTGAGGAAGGCGAAGTCGCCGAAACGTCAGCCATCGTTCAATAACATCAAAAACAACGACAGCGACAACGAAGATTTGTACCAACCTCGCGTCAGCTTAAGAAGATCAGTCCATAAGATCACATAAATAAATGTATCAACTATCTATGCCGAGGTTTATAGAAAGTCAGTCTTTCGAGTTATTATAGAGGACTGTATCGATTGCGGTCTAAAAGCCGAACTGCATTTACATGGAAAGGTGGTTTTTACTCTCCGGAGACTAAAATATTATTTGCAGTGGAAGACCAAAGGCTAGATAAGAATTCACTCGGGCTGTGACATCTCATCTCACTTAAAGAAGTTCTAAAGGCTTAGGCAAGAACCGCAAAAGCTTTTGGTGTTGATAATAAATCGTTCAGAGAAAGACCATGCATTCTGCTCCATTCATAACATCGTAGATGTGATATTGTATAAACGACTGGCCCATAAAATGATTTATAGTAGCCCACCGATGCATCACGTTACTCTTTTTATTCTTCTACACACCACCTATGTATATTTTGCGAAGCCATAGAGGTGAAAGGCTTGGTTAGCTCTCGGATCAGGATCAAATCGAAATTTGTATTGCAACGTCCCTTTATTCGCTGCGTTACACAAGCCATGGAGTACAGGTAGCTCAAGAAAAAAAACTATAAGAAAGCTATCTCTATTATTAAGCTAATCAAGACCTATTCATTTAGTTTGCAAGAATAATACCTGCTCATTCTAAAGCAAATGAAATAGAGATACCAGAACATGTTCAGCAGTGTTCCATCATATAATAGAAAACGTCTGTCCAGATATTTCAAACGCTAAATGTGAAGAAACAGTTTTATGATGGGGATATCTGCATGGCTCCTTTCTTGGGATTGTGCGTTTTTTATGAACAGACAAGCCGGAAGGATTTGTGCGCCACAAATTTGTAAGCTTTCAGCACTGTGGAACTGGTAATTGCAAGCGGCATTGCATATTTCTATAACAAATTCCATAGAGTATATACCAAAAGCTTAATCAATATAGTACTCAGCCGTCCTATTGATTTATGGGGATCTACAGTGAGAGAGGGCTAATTTATTTTGCTTTCCCTTGCTGAATAGAGAGGCTTTTGTGACATGAATTGACAAAATATATGATCTGTTCACAAGTAAATCCTGGAGCAAGCAACTGAAGAAGCCTGCAGTTTTGACGTGCATAACTGGAGACGTCACTGATGCCGAACGTCGACGCCAAGTGGTGAATACGAGTGCAAGTCTCCTCTGTCGCATCCTGAACCAAGCATATTCAAATTTACATATTCTCCAAGCATTTGAAGGAAAAATTATTGTTTATACGAAACCAATTTTCTCCTTCGATGATTTGACCCATACAGGACTCTGCCTAATTTTGGGTGGCGGTCGCTTGGGATTACACATTATTTTCCAAGGCACGTAGTATATATTAAAAAAAGTCCTCACTGAATAAAGAAATGCAACATTTGAAAATTCGTAAAAAAATAAAAAGACTTCTCAGACGTTCGTCTAATCCTCTGGAGCACTGTGATAAATAAGCTACTGATTAAATACTTACTTAATTACTTGATTAATCCCTCTTCACTGGTTGTGAAGGCTCTAGTATAGTTTCCATTACTTCGGAGTTTTGCTGGTTTAACCACTGTGGTTCTCTGCAGTCCCGAGGTCAGCCAGGCCAAAGTCTGCACCAGGTCGTCACCACCCCTGGCAGTCGCCGCTCTTGTGGACCACAGAGAGATTTGCCACCATGCGACTAATTTCGTACCAGGACACTGGTGGATCGAGGTATTGGTCTACTCTTGCCTGGGCTTCCTAATAAATTTTTTTTACAATCGTTGGAGAATTCTGCTGCAATTGCATCACAGATTCCAGCGACACATGCAGTTGCTTCTTCGTGAGCATGTGTTTTAAGCATTTTTACTTACTTACCTGGTACTTGAACGACCCGTCCTCACTGGATGTGCAGGCCCCGGCATAATCACCATTTTTAGGTAATTTGCTGGTTAAGCCATTGTGGTTCCCTAGAATCCCGAGGTCAGCTTGGCCATAGTCTGCCTTAGGTCTTCACCACCAGAGGCAGTCGTACCCCTTATGGATCAGAGAAAGATTTGCCACCATACGACTTTGTTACCAGAACGGTGGTTGGCCCTGGTATTGGTTTACTCTTAGCTAAGCTTCTTGATGGAAACGCCGGACTCCTTCTCGGTCTGGGAGACCCTGCCAGGGGATGAAACCCCTCGCTGTACATCGCAGTCTGACACCCACGAACACCTCCCAGCCACGATGAGACGGTAAAGCGTTGGGAGGAGCTATAATATTAGTTCTATAAAGTAGGACTTGAAGCCACGTTCGCAGGCTGAGTAGATAAAGGAGATCGATCTCTACAAACGTCACGGTCGAACGGAAATTATTCAATATTAGGAAAAGATGATAAAAACTAAAAAACATACTAAATTTTGAATCTTTTTAATTCAATAACGGTTCCTCATCTTAATGCATAATCGTGCAAGTTCTTCTTGCTCTTCTAATGGTTCCATACAGCATTTATTCAGTACTATTATATTACTTTGTATCATATCGTTCTTCAAAAAAACCATCAAGAACTCAGTTGTGTTTGACAGTACTAGCTGAATGCGATGTTGAAAAACACGATGATTTTTCGCCTTCCTGGTCAGCTATTATAAATATGAGCATCTTATCCAACATCATCAAAACAGGGCAGCAATAGTCTGGAACTTATGTCTGTGTAAATAATCCCAGAAGCCGATATCCTCCTCGAGTGAAGTCCCAGAATAAAGAGGAACCTATAAACCTCATCAAACTTGCGAAATTCTCTACAACAATGCTTAGATAAAATTTAACAAAAAAAAGAGCAGCAGTACTGCGTAGAGCTGTAGAGGCCAATTGCAATTCTCTACTAGACCCTGGTGACTACAGTGCTATGGTGATTGCACTCCGACCTCCGACGATAGGACGGAACAGTTACAATATCAGAAAGGAGCATTACGATTTATGGAGACATTCGCGATGTTTGTTGTCTGTTAGAAAAATAAGTCTACCTACCTCTGTGGTATATATACAAGATGGATATCTATTTCCAACTGTTATTTTGCTTCTGATATGCTGTCTAGACAGAGGAGATTTTCGCAGCAAGCAATGTGAAATAGTTTGGGCTCGCACATTTAGAGAGCCAACCGTCAATTCTAGACAACATACTTGCCTGTTCGTCCATTAACTAAGTGAAAAGTCCTTTATGAGTGGTAACCTAGTAAAGCAATAGTTGTTAAACAAAGCAGATTGAACGATACTATCACTCAATACATTATGTCGCAATGTGACTACTTTCGCAAGAGTAAAATATGCCTTCGTATCTAACTTTTATCGACCTAGGAAGGCGCCTTCTCTCTCCTCATCTCTGCGCTCTTTACGTCCTCAATTTCTCTAGGAGTTCAAAGAATACCAGCGGTATTAGGTAACCTTTCATTTTTAAGGAGGTTGTTAAACTACTATCTAAACCCGTTCTAATGGACGGTCTTCTAATCCATGATTCGTCCATATTTGTATTCATAACTACTTCGACTCGGGTCGCGCAATGGTTGAGATGCCGTTCAATACGCTCAAGCTCCTTGAGTGACCACGAATCCAGCTTCCATACTACTATGGACAAGATGTTAATGTCAAACTTGCTTATAAAAAGGTTCCTCCGATCCATAAAACGAGCCACTACCTGCTGTGAAAACCTAGGAGAGCTTTAATACGGCTCCTAGAATTCTAGAGAAAATCGATTCAACCAAAATTCAATGACATTAATAACGACATTTTACATTCACACCTTAGAAAGAAAACCAGAAATCCTCAGTCAGCATACGAACTTACAGAACAATTCGAAGATTCTCATCGATAATGGATAATAGAAGAGAATGAGTCAAACGCAAAAGTGGTGTTATTTACACGGTTGAAGCCGGACCATACAGAAATAAAAAAAAATACTACAACATATTGTAGCAAACGAAGCAGTAGCAATCATTTGTACTTTTACCGCAGGTGAGCAAAAAATATTATCCACAGCAATGATAGCTTGTAGTTCATACCTCGTACTGAGTGGATTTCTGAATGTCAGACGACGGCGAAGTGACAGTCCGCATAGCCACTGTAGACGGAGGTGGCAGCGGAACCGCTGCAGGCGGAGTCTCTCGGTGAGGTAACGTTATTGAAATGGCACGAAGCCGCTCTTTTGGATTTCTCTTGAAACATGGAAAATGATAAAATACTATCGTTGCTATTTAGAATTTGCTTGAACAACACCAATGACTTTATACAACTCCTAATTTTTATCTCAGGTCAGCAACAGAAAAGCAGAGAAACTTTCATCGTCTACATATTTTTATCGACTAAAACGGCACAAATGTTGATCAAGCTCCCAGTGCGAATGAAGTAGAATTGAACTCGATAGTCGTCTTTCTTTAGATCTACATCTTTGTTAGAATTATCCGAAAGGAATTTACCATCGCCATTGAACAACTTTTTTTCTGCGAAAACCAGGATTCTACCAAAACATGCTGATGTGAAGATACCTAACGTTGATTCCCAAGCTCTACGCTATTTTTCACAACCAAAATCTGTTTTTTACTCCTACGACCGACTTTCTGTTAAACTGTGTAGGTTTTTGATTGGGTAGAATGCGGTCAACTTGACCTTTCCAGGCTCTGAGGAAGACGAAATCGGCCGCAACTTCAGCTTGTGCGTAAATAAAGAAATGATAACACATATGTTCTGTATGTTGCAAGAAAGTGTGAATTTTTAAGACCTTCCCATCAATGGTATCATGTATCATTGTTTTAGAACGCCATGGAAAAAGAAAACTGGACCAATAGTGTTGCTGCCTTGCCACTAAAGCTAAATGACGATCGATTTGAAAAATGGACCAATAATGTCATTCGAAGTGGTGCAATTTTTCAATGTGCAATTACGGTACGAAAAAAGCCTCTTAAAAACACTTGAGTACAAAGATATAGGAAGATGAAAGCCACAGAAGAACAAGTTCTTTAAAGTTCACTTACTCTTTGCTGAGATGACGAAGCTGACGGAAGTGCAAATTGCTGACGTTGTGCAGTTGAAGTTTCGAAATAATGAGGAATAATGACCTAAAATCGATTTTATGAAATTATCAGGATAACGAGTGCTAGATAGGAAAAAATTTCTTAACTAGCTTTTCAACTTTTGAGCTACTTAACCTATAATAAAAATAAAGGATAAAAGTCTCGGTGTTGGTTAATCCCTGGGGATTGTGCCATGCATTCAACTTCGTTAAGCAACGTCTGGAGGTGATTAAATGCATATCTAGCCTTTATAATGATTCGTGGTAACTTATAGATGTATCCAGCTAGTGTTGGTACCCTCCCAGATAGATCTGGTACCAATTTACCAACCCCGGAGGGATGGAAGGCTTGGTGGCCAGGTGCAAGGGAAAAAAACCTCATGTGTGTGTTGCAGGGCGCCTCCGACCACTACGCCACACTGGCCTTTCTACTTAACCCATAGGGGTTGAAAATAGCAAGCATCGTTTCGATTTTTTTTCAATTCGTCCTTTATTACAACATATTTTTGAGCATGATGCACGCTGAATATTACATATTTATTACCTATTGTTAAATACAAAAAAAATTAAACACTTTTCTGGCACAGTACTCACCATATTCCATTCTTTTATAGCTGAGAATAAACATACACTTATGTGATCACCACTAAGGAATGAAAAACCACAAAAAACCTACTCTTGACAACTGATCCATCCTTCGTTTAGGCACTCGACGTCCCGACAAATCCCGATGTTCTGCAAATGAAACCATTAACGCCGAAGACTGTAATCAAGTTTAAGCATTTTATTCGCACCGTCTGTTCCACAACCCCTGGGATGGAGAGTACTATAAACCACTGGTGATCATTTTTCCAATAACTGTGATGTTCTTCGAATAACTACGAATCTGCCACTAGCCGCATATACTTAGAGTACTGCACTTTGAGTGGAAGTTGAGGACGGATTTCTGGGAAAATCTATTGGAAGACAACTTACTTGAATTGCTTTTTCGTCCTAGCCGTCGTCCTGTGTTTGGCTTGTACTCAATAAAATAAAAATCGTTTTCATAATCCTAAAAATGCACTGTGCTGCAACTCTGGACACCACATCCTCATATTAATTCATTTCTAAAGTTTCTTTCTTCTTCCTTATCGTAACAGAAATGAAAAGTCTTTTAACGATGTTGTTACACTTTTTCCTCTTTTTCTTTTCCTTCTTTTCGCCAAATAAAAAGCAATAGACCTAATGCGTGACAATCTCCTGATGGGTCCACTACTTTCGAGAGACATTGATAGGTACCGAACTGTAGAATACATTCATCAGAGGATTCTATCACCGCATACATTTATCACAAAAGATTATCGCAAGTTTATTAGGCAGCTTAATCCGCGAAATTACTAGCAATTAAAAATTTTTAAAGAAATATGACTCCCAACATACATACATCAAAGTTGTCGTCATTATGTAAGATGTACCTGATGACCTGTCGTACCGTGCTGAAAACGAAAATTGTAAAGACCAAAACCAGTTTTCCGTCATTGAATATCTCATTTTGCTTAAATTAGCTAACCAATAGTAACTACCTAAAACATTGGAAATGCACCGATAACGAAAAGCCACAATGTTTTACCGTACTGCTCAAAAGCGAGTGATACGTCATTCATGTTGAAGAATATTGTTTGACTACTTTTTGTTTCCTGCCTCTACAGATTTCACAGCCTCAGCTTAACTGGGTTCAGCCCGCTGACAGGTGATTGCTGATGGCACTGATCGATAGAACTAGCTGAGAGACAAGCGAAACGAAGGACGCGCATGGTGTGGTGGTGAGCACGTTAGCTCCCAGAAAGGGTAATGAAGCGTTCGTTTTCCATCGCGTACCCTTGCGGTTCGGGGTTTTCCAAACGTGATAATATTAATCTCAGCGTGATAATATTGTTTGTTTTTATTTTCGTTGGCTAACTTTCGAAGCGATCAAATTCTGTTGGCTTGAATGACAATTTCAAGTTAATGCTCTAAAAAGCCATCGAAAAACCTAAAGAAAAATAAAAACGTGAACGAACTTTTTTGGTAAGGATATTTCTTCAAATTCAACGTCTCTTTGCTGCTGTTCAGATTCGGTTTCCGACGAAGATTCTTTCTGCGTGAAACCACTAAAATGTGTCTAGTGAATG